AGTTGGAAAATGTTTTTAACACTTCTATTTTCTGGAAGAGTTTGCATACATTTGTATTAGTGTATTTTAAAATGATCAGTTAAATTTTCCAATAAACCCATATGGGTCTGGAGTTTTCTTTGTTGAAATGTTTTAAACTAGTAATTCAATGTTTTTCACTGATACAGAACATTGAGGTTACCCTTTTCTTAGTACAGCCATTCCGGCTTGCTTTTGGTTATTGTTTGCATGGCATACCTTTACTTTCAACCTTTTTGGGCCTTGAATCTATAGTGTGTCTCTTGTGGACAGCATATAGTGAATTATGTTTCATTATTTATCCTGCCAACCTCTACTTTTAAATTAGAGTTTAATCCACTTTTAATATATTTGCTTATAAGGTAGGATGTATGTCCGACATTTTGCTGTTTGTTTTTTATGTCTGATATCCTTTTTGTTTCTTTGTTCCTCAATTAGTGACTTGTGTTTCTTTAAATGTATATTTTCCAATGTACCAATTAAATTCCCTTGTTTCTTTTGCTATATTATTTTAAGTTATTTTTTCCATGGTTACCCTGAGAATTACAATTAACATCTTAATTTAGAGCCATCTAATTTGGATTAATATCAACTTAATACCAATAATATTTAAAAAGTCCCTGGCCAGGTGGCTCTTATATGAGTAAAGTTGTCTCTTATATGAATCAAAAGAGTAAAAAAAAATTACATTTAAATTGTCTTTTATATGTACCTATGTGGTTACCTTTACTAGTACTCTTTATTTTTTTGTATGGATTCAAGTTACTGTCAATGTCCTTTTATTTCAGTCTGAAGGAATCCCTTTGGTATTTCTTGTTGTGATATGTCTGCTAGTGATGTCCTCACTCAATTCTTGTTTATCTGAGAATGTCTTAATTTCTTCTTTATTTTTGAAGGCTATTTTTGCTAGATACAGAATTATGGTGGACAGTTCTTTTTTCTTTTCAATTTTGAATATGTCATTCTACTGTCTTTTGGCCTTTTTGGTTTTTGTAAGAAATCAGCTATGTTGATCTTATTGAGGATCTATACATCATGAGTCACTCCTTTTGCATTGCTTTCAAGATTCTCTTTGTCTTCAACTTCCCACAGTCTTACTACAGTTTGCCTAGGTGTGGATCTCTTTCATTTTAATTTACTTGGAGTTTGTTCATCTTTTAGATGTGTATATTGTTATCAAATTTGAGATGCTTTTGGCCACTATTTACTAAAAAATTTTTTCTGTATTTTTCTTGCTTCTTCTTCTGGGACTTCTATTATGCTTCTGCTGGTACATTTGATGGTTGTCTGACTGCATAACCTCAATCCTAAAGTTCACAGATCCTTTCCTTTTCCTGTCTAATACTGCTCTTGAGCTCTTTTACTGTACTTTTTAACATCATAATTTGTATTTTGTTCCTTTCTTTAATTTCTATTTTTTTACTATTCTTTGGTGGGACACTGTTCTTAAATGTTTAATTCTTTAGACATGATTTTCTCTAGCTATTTGAACATATTAAAATAATTGTATTTTTAAAGTCTTTTCTAGTAAGTCCTTGCTGTGGTTTTTATTGTCCTTGGGGACAATTTATATTGATTGCATTTCCCTCCCTGTGTGTATGGAACATACTCTGTCATTTCTTTGCATGGTTCATTTTTTTTTTATTTAAGAGCTGGACATTTTAAATAATGTGGCAACTCTGAAATCAAAATCTCTCTCCTTCCCAGTGTTTTTTGTTGTTGCTACTTTGTTGTTTGTTGCTTTACGGACCTTATAACTGATTCTGTGAAGTTTGTATTCTTTATCATGTATGGCCATTGAGCCCTTTATTTATTTATTTTAAAAGATTTTATTTATTTTTAGAGAGAAGGGAAGTGACAGGGAGATAAACATCGATGTAAGAGAGAAACATCTATTGGTTACCTCTCACCCCATCTGGGGACTGAACCCGGTAGCCTAGGCTTGTGCTCTGACCAGGAATCAAACCTTTTGCTTTGTGGGACAACGCCCAACCAACTGAGCCACACCAAGCAGGGCAAGCCCTTCATTTAATTTGGTGATCAGAGATTTTTTTAAATGCCCAGAACCAATAAATTTTCTACTCTTGGCTAAGTAGTTCTGTGTGTGTTTTGGGAACACCTGAGTACACCTTCAGTACTCAACCAGGAAGTTTGTAAGTCTGCCTTAGCCTTCACTTTGTATTTGTGCATAGCCTGAAGGTCAGAAAGTGGCGAGAGGTTAGGCTGTTTTTAGTTTTTCCCTAAGCATGTGCATAGTGCTTCATATACATATGGCCTTCTGGGTTCCCCCAAAACATGTAAGAGCTTTTCAAAACCTTTATTGGTATCTTATTTCCAAGCTTTTAAGTTTTTTAGGTGGTCTGTTGTTTGCTTCATTTGCTTCCATGACCTCAGGTAGTCACAAAGTTAAAACATTTTTCATTAATGGTTTCCTCAAACATGCTCCCAAAACCTTTCTCTCCCCTCTAGCAGAAGTCTTTTTTGGCATTTGGCAAGAGTCAACCAGCACCTGGGTCAGGTAAAGGTCAGTCTTTGAAAGAAAGTCTCCAGCTTGGTTTTGGTAGCTCCAGTGGTTCCAAGCTGCCTTGGCAATGAAGGGATCAAGAGAAGTTAAAACTCCACGAATCACTGTTTTTACCCATATTCGTCTTTCTTCCTCAGTAAATACTCCCTGGATTGCTGCAATCATTTGGTTAATTTCCAGAGTTCTGAAGTAATTGATTCTGACAATCAGAATCAATTTTTGCTTCTTCTTCTTGTTACTGCTTTTGTGGAGGGACAAATTTTTGGAAGGACAAATTTTTGGAGGTTCTTACTTTGCCATTTTTCCAAGTTTTTTATCAATTTCTTTTTGAGCGAGTTATGGTAATTTCTGTCTTTCAAGGAATTTGTTCATTTCTTCTAAGTCGTTGAATTTATGGGCATATTTTTTAAATATTTCTTATTCTTTTACTGTCTAATAGATTGTTCCCTCTTTGCTTCTTAATATTTATAGGTTGTATCTTTTTGTCCTGGTCAAAGATAGGTTTATTAATTCATTACCTCTTTTTCAGAGTACCATGTTTTGTGTTCAGTAGTAATCTCTTGTTTTTATATTTTAAATTTTACTGATTTTTTTCTCTTCCTCTGCTTTCTTTGAGGATCGTTTGCTCTTATTGTTTTAGATTCTTAATATTGAAATTAGATCATTGATTTTAGATTTTTATTTTGTAATGTAACCATTAATGCCATAAATTTTGCTGTAAACACCAAGTTAGCTGCATCCTACAAAGTTTGATAATGTGTTTTTATTTTAATTCAGTTATAACATTTTAAATTCCCATGTGACTTCTTTGACCCATGGATAATTTAGAAGTGTGATATTCATGTGCACTTGAATGCATATTTTTCTGGTTTTTAGTAGAATATTATGTAAATATCATTCAAGTTGGTTGACAGTATCATTCTGGTCTTCATCTTTACTGATTTACTGATAGTTCTGTTCCTTATGTCTACTGCTCCAATTAATGTATATTAAGATTTTTTATTCTAATTCTCTTATTTCATGTTTTACATCTTTTTGATTCTTAGTGATGCCTTTTGGGTAATTTCTTTGCTGTTTTTTCTTTTCACTAATTTTGTTTTCAGCTGTATATAATCTGCCTAACTCATTCATCATATTTTCTCCCTAGCATTTCATTGAGTATACTAAAGTATGTAGCTTGACTAATTTTGATAAAAGTATACACTTATGTAACCATTGCCTTACTCAAGATATAAAACATTTTGTCACCCCAGAACAGTTCCTTTTCCTACTATCAAGGCTGTTGGAAACTGTTAACTAGATTTTCATTGTAGTTGTACAATTTTACACTCCCACCAACAATTTCTGAGAATTTCAAGTACTGCACATTTCTTTTTAACACTTTGGTTAATACTTTGTAATTTTATCCATTTTGGTGGTGGGGTGTTGCATTGAAGATTTTGTTTGTTTTTTTAATAGCTAGAACCTTAATTTATGGAATTTCTATGGGTTTTATTTTTTCAGCTCTCTTTGCCAAATGTTTACATGCTTGCCTTAACAAATACCACTTTTATTTCTTAATGAATATATAGACTGTTAACAACATCTTGTCTTTTGGTAAGAGTAAGATAAATCTGCATTCTTAGTACTCAGATATCCTTGATCAGTATCATTAAAAAATTCTTTTTCTTTTTTTTTAAAGATTGTATTTACTTATTATTTATTTTTTTAGAGAGGGAAGGGAGGGAGAAAGTGAGAGAGAAACATCAATGTGCAGTTGCTGGGGGCCGTGGCCTGCAACCCAGGCATGTGCCCTGACTGGGAATTGAACCTGTGATACTTTGGTTCACAGCCCATGCTCAATCCACTGAGCTACGCCAGCCAGGGCAAAAAAATTCTTTTTCTTTATTGTTGTTCAGGTGCAGTTTTCTCCATTCCTCCCCTCCCGCCTCGCCTACCCCATCTCCCATCTTCAGTCCTTCCTTTCATCTCTCATTTTACTAACTCATCTTGGTAACGGGTTTTCTTGTTCACTTGAAATATCTTCCTTTTCTCATCTGTAATATAAATATTCCAAGTAGGATGACTCTCCCTCTCCTTTATATCATTCATTCTTTCTCATAAGGGCTTTTTGTTTTTCAGTTAAAATATTGTCCTCAAAGACAAATACAGAACCTATAGTGGTTACTTAAAGTGCCAAGTTGTGATATTACCTAAGAATTGAGCAAGATTAATATTTATATGATTATGTATACATGTGATTTTCACAAACATAAATGATAAGGATATAATATAAATAGTGGCATGTGGGAAAAATAACTCTTAAAGTTTTTCTTTATGAATACCAGAGCATTTCTTTAAATTCAAGTTATTTATGTTTAGATTAAATATAGTAAGATTCACTATATAAAATTATGTTTTTTTGGTCTGGTCTCACTATTGTAAGTCTTACATATTATATTTTTCTCTTCTGCTTTAGGCAATCCTTTATCACAGGATATACTCAATTTATACCAGGACCCAGATGGAACCCGAAAGCTACTGAACTTTATGCTTGACAATCTTGCAGGTAATTTTTAGTGCTAAAGCAATAAACTCTACATATATTACTATTAACTAATGTGTCACATTTTACTTAAGAGTATCTAACCATTTTTTATAAGTGCCTATAGGTGTGCAATTCCTGCCATTAGTATATCCTAGGGTAGTGGGATATTCTTTTCCTAAACTGAGTGCTTTTTCTATTAACCAAGCAATATGTAAGGAACTTTTGTTTCATTCTCTCCTTTAATCTTTATAAGATTACCTAGGAGGTAGGAATTTTTACTGGCATTGTACAGGCAAATTCTGAGATACAGAAAGTAAAGCAATTTACCCAACTAAACACAGCTAGCTAATGACCGCTATGAACCCAGGACATAATTCTCTTTTGGTTAGAGTTTACACCTTATTTTTCAGTTCTTTCATATTTAACCTTTCTGCTCCCCTCTATGTTAGTATTTCCGTCTGTTTGCTTGCTTTAAGTTTATTTTGTTCTCTTTCTTATTCAGTATAACAACTTAGATTGTTGATTTGAGACCTTTCCTTTTATATTAATGTAAGCATATAGCATTGTAAATGTACCTTGCAGATCTGTTTGTTGCATTCTACAAAGTTTGATATGTTGTGTTTTTTATTTCCATTCTGTTTAATATATTTTTAAAAAATTCTCTTTGAGCCATGGCTGGTGTGGCTCAGTGGATTGAGTGCCAGCCTGGGAACTGAAAGGTCACAGGTTTGATTCCCAGTCAAGGCACATGCCTGGGTTGTGGGCCAGGACCCCATTTGGAGCATGCAAGAATCTGATGTTTCTCTCCCTCTCTTTCTCACTCCCTCGCTATAAAAAAAATAAATAAAATCTTTTAAAAATTTCTTCTTTGATTCTTTGTCTTTGACTCATAAATTATTTACAAATGTTTACTTTTCTGTTGTATTTTATTATTTTTTGAGTCTAATTTACTGAGTTTTATATTTTGAAGCTTTGTTGTTTGGTAGATAACATTTTGGATTGTTACATTTTCTTTGTGGCTTGATCTTTTCAATCATTATGTAATGACCTTTCTTGTTTCTAGTATTTACTCTGCTCTTAAGTATACCTTATCTGATAATAATATAACCACTCTGACTTTTTGTGTAATGCGGGTATAGTCTTTTTCTCTCCTCATACTTATAGACAGCATACAGTTGAGTCATGTGTCATGTTTTTTTTATCTATTCCATCAAGATTCAACTTTTATAATTTGTGTATTGAAACCATTTACATATAGTTTAATTGTAAATATGTATAACTTAAGTTTGCCATTTTAGTACTTGTTTTCTGATTGTTTCCTGTCTTTCCTCTTCCTTCATTTATCTCTCTTGTTTTCCTGTGGATTACTTAAACATATTTTAGGATTCTATCTTGTTTTATTTTTGCTGTTTTTAAGTACATTGTCTTTATAATTTTTTTCTTTTCTTTATAATTTTCTTAGTGGTTGCTCTAAATATCACAACATCCATACTTAGCATAGTCTCCTGATAATGGCATTTTATCACATAAATGAATCATTGATGCCTTACTTCCATTTATGTTTCTATAACCTTCCCACTTTTAAATGTACAAGAGGGGACCTCCCTCAAAAAACAGAATTTATTTTTTTAAAATCATGTATTTATTCTTACATGTTTAAACTTAAATAACCTTCAAAGTACTCTCCATTTGATGGAATACACCTATCGAGATGTTTTTTCCACTGCTCAAAACAGTTTTTATAATTATGTTTTATTGATTATGTTCTCACAGTTGTCCCAATTTTTCCTTCTTTTCCCCTTTTCACCCAGCACCCCCCATTCCCTCAGGCAATCCCTACAACTTTGTTCACGTCCACTGGTCACGTGTATAGATTTTGTGGCTACTCCATTTCCTATATTGTACTTTACACCCCCAGGCTATTCTGTAAAACTACCAGTTTGTACTTCCTAATTTGAACTTGTTGATTTGGATGACTTTTAGTGTTCCTGGCATTTCTTGTTTTACCTTTTCCACATTGGCAAAATGTTTCCCTTTTCAGACTTTTTCATTCAGGGAAACAAACGGGAAAAAAAGTCAATCGGGGTGAGATTGGGTGAATAGGGAGGGTGGGGCACAGGGATCATGCTGTTTTTTGGTCAAAAACTGCTGAACACTCAGTACAGTGTGGGAAGGTGCACTCAGACATCGCCCATCATGAAATGGGCAAACATAGGAAGAGTCTTCAAAAAAAATTCACTGAAGCCCATGCAGTCTCCCACAAGAACACCAGCTGGCACATGGTGCAGATGGGTTCCTAGAATACTCACCCCGCGAAAGAAGCCTGTACTACAAGGGACCCACCCTCCAGAAGATAATTCCAGTATTTTGGGGTCTCCCAGTTGTCTCTGGTGTTTTTCCTACCTATGCTGAGGGCCACACAGATGTGGTTTGTGCTTCTACTATCATTTTAAGAAGCTCGTGTGGAGAAGGATGATCTGTTAAATTAACTCCTATTTTTTTACTTGTTCCTTGTTTGTTTTTTTAATATTCTAATTTTTCTGTATTATTTTCTTTCTCCTAAGAGAGGTTCCTTTAGCCATTCATTTCTCAAGGGCACATTTGCTAGCAACAAAGTCTCTTAGTTTTCTTATGATAACATCTTTATTTCCCCTGGATTTCTGAAGGATAATTTTATTGAATACAGAACTTGTGTTTGATGCTTTTCTTTCAGCACTTAAAAAATGGTGTACCAATTTCTCTGGCCACCATGTTTTCAGAAAAGAAACCTGTTGTTCCCTTATAGGTAATGTGTAATGTCTATCTGATATATTTGAGAGTTTTATGTTTAATTTTCAGTCTAATTATAATGTGTCTTGATGTGGATTTGTTTGGGTTTATATTCTACTTGAAGTTTGCTTACCTTAAATTTGTAGACATATGTCATTTACTAAATTTGGGAATTTTTAGTCATAGTCTCTGAAGAATAGTGTTTAAATCTACATTCCTCCTCCCCTTCTTCTGGTCTCTGAATATATGAATTTAGAGCTTTCGTGATAGTCCCACAGGTCTCAAGCTTCATTTACTATTTTTTTAGTTTATGTTTTTATATTAAATAAATTTTATTGGTTCTTAAAGTCAATCATTTTATCTTTTTAAATCTTCATTATTGTGCTTTTTCTGTGAGTTTTATTATTTTGTTTATTGTATTCTTTCAGTTCAATAATATCAGTTTGGTCCTTTTTATTTTTATATGTTTATTTTTCACTTTGAAAGACCTTTCAATTTTCAGGTAAACAGAAATAAAGCAAGACATTTAGATATCCAGGACCTTGGGAGGGTTGTGAATCAGAGGCATAGTATATGGGATGCATCCTTTCTCATACGGGGCACAAATATGGCCTCTGCCCTTGGCCATGGAGAGAACACTTCTCCCCATCCAGGTGGCTGCTCTGGCTGCCCAAGATGCAGTGGGCTGAAAACACTCTGGTTTTAGTGAGGGAGGCCAATGTCCCAGACACCCAGGCTTAAGGCCAAAGCACCATTTATTTTATAAACAACACTTAAAATTCTCATGGTTCTGGGGACCTGATGTCGGGATCGAGATATTGGCAGGGTTGGTTCCTTCTGGGAGGCTCGATGAAGAATCTGTTGTGGGCTTCACTCTGAGCTTTTTGGGGACACCTTAAATTCTTGGCATTTGTTGCTTTGTGTCTGCTTTGTCTCAATCTCTGATTCCATTGTCACATGGCTTCTGAGTGCCCAATTTGGTCCTTTTTAAAACATGTAACTTGGGCTTCCTTGCTGGGGGTTTCTTTATTTGTCTCAAGAGAATGTGTAATTGTTTCCAGAAGCAGCTTTACCATGGCTGCTCTAAAATATGTCAGATAATTTCAACATCTGGATTATCTCTGTTGGTGTTTGTTGGAATCTTGTGTAATTATTTTCCTGATCTTTGGTGTGACCAATAATTTTCAGCTGTACCCTGGATATTTGGAATATTAAGTTAGGAGATGCCCGTTGATTTTTAAATTTCAGTTTTAGCTGGCAGTTGCCCGGTTTAGTTTTACCATATAGTTTTTGTCAGCCTTTCCAAGCTCATGTGATTCTATTACTGTGAGCACACCATGCCCAGTGCTGCTGACCCCTGTGAGCTGCAGGATGGGTTGGCTCTCTTGGGCTGTGCTAGAGTGGTTGCCATCAGCAACACTGAATCACCCACATTGCCAAAAAAGAAAGGAACAGAGAGAAACTACAAAAGTAGCTGGTAAATAATTAACAAAATGGGTAATAAGTACATGCCTAATAATAATTACATTAAAGGGTGAAGGGCTGGAAACAAATACTCCAAGCAAATGGACGGGGAAAAAAAGGCTGGAGTAGCAATACTCATATCAGACAAAATAGACTTCAAAAAAAGGGCCAGAAAAAGAGACCCAGAAGGTCACTTCATAATACTCAAGGGAAGAGTCCATCAAGAAGACATAAACATTGTAAATATATATGCACTCAACATAGGAGCACCCAAATACATAAAGAAAATTTTGGAGGACTTCAAGAAAGATGTTGACAGCAACGCAATTATAGTAGGGGATTTCAACACCCCACTGTCAAAAATGGATGGATCTTCCAAACAAAATATCAACAAAGATATTGAAGCATTTATCAATGTTCTAGATCAAATGGACTTAACTGATATATACATAGAGAGCCTTTCATCCCAAAGAAATAATTACACTAAAGGATCATAAGAAACTACTATGAACAATTATATGCCAACAAATTAGATAACCTAGAAGAAATAAATTCCCAGGAACATAGACCCTCTCAAGACAATTTTGATGAGATACAAAATCTGAATAGACTGATTAGTAGTAATCAAAAACCTCCCAACAAAAAAAAGTCCAGGACCAGATGGTGTCACTATTGAATTCTACCAAATATTCAAAGGAGGCTTAATACCAATCTTTCTCAAACTCTTCCAAATAATAGAAGATGAAGGAACTCTTCCAAACTTATTTTATGATGTCAGCATTACCCTAATTCCAAAATCAGACAAGAATGCCCCAAGAAGAGATAAATCAAGTGGGATTTATCCTAGGTATGTAAAAGTGGTTCACCATCTACATTAATATAATGAAGGATAAAGTCAAATGATCATCTCAGTAGATGCAGAAAAACATTTGACAAATTCAACATGTATTTTATGATAAAAACCCTTAAAGTGGATATAGAGGTAATGTACCTCAAAATAATAAAGGCCATAAATGACAAGCCCACAGCTGACATCATACTCAATGGTGAAAATTCTAAAGCATTTCCTATAATAGCAGCATTACAAGGAAACCCAATCTCTGCTTCTATGTAACATAATATTGGAAGTCTGAGCCAGAACAGTTAAGAAAGAAAAAGAAATAAAAGACATCCAAATTGTAAAGGAAGAAGCAAAACTGTCACTATTTGCAGATGACATAATAATATATTTAGAAAACCCTAAAGACTTTGTAAAAAAAAAAAACAACAACCATTGGAACTAATAAATGAATTCAATAAAGTTGAAGTACACAAAATCAGTACACAAAAATGCTGCATTTCCATACACCAATAATGAAGAATCAGAAAGAGAAATAAAGAAAACACTCCCATTTATAGTTGCATCAAAAAGAATAAAATACCTAGGAATAAATTTAACCCAGGGTGAAAGACATATATATTGAAAACAAGACACTAATGAAAGAAATTGAAGAAGACATAAGTAAGTAGAAATATATTTTGTGTTCATGGATTGGAGGAATCAATATTGTTACAATGTCCATACTACCCAAGCAATCTCCAGATTCAGTGTAAACCTTATCAAAATTACAAATGACATTTTTCAAAGAACTAGAACAATAATCATATTATTTGTATGGGACCACACACACACACACACACCCCAAATAGCTAAAACAGACATCCTTTAGGTAGGCTTTTAATACAAGAATGGTTAGTAAGGTGATATTTCAAAATGTTGGATACTTGCATGGACATTTCTGTGTCTGGATGAAGATGGAATGTTTTTGTTTTAAAGAAATACATTTCTTAGCCACTAATACCCCTGGCAAATCTGCAAACTTGTTTCAGATTGTTCTGTAATTGAAAACTTTTTAAAAGAAGGAAGAAAAGGGAGTTGTTCAATCTTAACTTAATGAATTTTCTTTCTTCTGATAGTTGGGTAATATTTAGTTCCATGGTATTAATAATCATATCTGAGCATTTAATATATAACCAATGTCATTTTCTGTACAATCTAGTTATTTTTTTATCTCTTGCTTTGCGTTGGTGTTATGAAAGATTTAAATTAGGAAATTAAGGCCCATTAGAAAATAGGCCCCAGCTGGTGCGGCTCAGTGGCTTGAGCAGAGGTCTGCAAACCAAAGAAAATACATTAATTTTTACTATATACTCATATGTGTTGTTTTCTATTTTAAAGATATTTGAATGTTTGCCTTTGTTAGTGGCTCAGTTAGTTGAGTGTTGTCCCAGTACACCAACACACCAAAAGGTTGTGGCAACTGATCAATGTTTCTCTCTCATACCAAGTTTCTCTCTCTCCACCATCTCCCACCCAACCCCCAAAATCAGTAAACACACATTCTTGGGTGAGGATTTAAAAAAAAAAAGATATTTGAGTATTTTAATCCATCAATATGTTGGAACTTCACATAGCTTTGATTTCCTTAGCAGGGAACAAGGCTAAGTCAATGTGTATTTAAGATGTAAAAACCCGATTAAGGTTTTAAATAGTTACTTTTCATAAATACAATATAAGTGGAAGTGCCATTGAGTTTCTTAATATTCTTTTTGTATATTATGTGTTTTCTGCATTGCTCTTCTTAAACTTCCTTTGGCTTACAAATTTTCATTATATTTCATTATATTTTTAAGTCAGTTTGTGGGTCATTACAACTGAAGAGAAAACAAGTTGATTTGATATTATAAAATAAATGATACTGATTTTAGTAATCGTCTTATGTTAAACTTTTGTTTTTTTAGTTCATCCAGAGCAGCTTCCTCCGAGGCCATGGATTACATTAAAAGAACGAGACCAAATTCTGCCATCAGGTAAATAGTTCTTATCTTTCCTTGACTTTTTAAAGGAATACTTGAAATGCCACTTGAGCATTGTGGTATAATGAACAAGCCTTCATTTTATTGATGTCTTATGTACAAGAATCTCCTGTCTTTCACAGTGATGCATCTCTTGGTTTTATAATGATTCCTGTTAGAATGGCTATTTTGTGTTAGAATGACATCTTCACACAGGGTATTGGGAGATGTAAAGAAAAAAAAGAGTAATAATGAATCTTCTGAAAAATGTAACCTGCTTAGGTACTTAAATTTTTCTCGAGAAGGTAGTCTTATAACACTTGTGAAAGAATAATTTAGACTGGATAGGTATTTGCTATATTGGAAACAAAATATAATGCCAGGCCGGTGGTTTAGAAATGGTACAGGTTGAGCATTTGAACAATTTAAGAAATATGATTTAGCACTTCTAGAACTGCAGTAATGTAGAAAATATAAACCTTTATTACTTCTTTATGGAGACCAATAATGATATGACATCATTTATAGGGTTTTTTACTGCTCATTAAGACATATTATGATTGGGAATTCTACTTTAAAAAAGTTATAAATTGGTATTTCTCCAATTGCCTTCTTTTTAATCACAAGAATAATAGTTTCCATGGTATCTAATTTCATTACAAAATTTAGAAATAAAAATTTTACTATTTTAATATGAAGATTAAACCAATCTCTGAATACTGATTCTTTAATGATTTTTGATGGGTAAATCACAGAGTTTATTATGTACTTTTTAAGCCTTTCTGTTTGTGAGGGGTTTTTTTTTAGTTATGAAGTAAGAGGATTCAGAAAAAAATAATTTGCTTTGATATTGGGAAATGTGAGCAGTAGAACATCTTCATGGTTCTATTTGTCTTTTAATAATACTGAGAAATATTATAATACATCTCTGTCTTCCAGAAGTAATAATTTTAAGCCACCACACTATAGATCCACAGTATCAACCTGTGTTAAGAGACACTGGGTCAATGCCACAAATAACATTCTGTTATCAGGATATACATTGGCGGAGTGAAAAAAGAGTACCTAAGATTTTCTATGAAGCCTTAAGTTAGGCAGATGTTATGTTTAGCCTTAAGTTAAGATAGATTTTATGTTTAGCCTTCCCTAATGCTTAATTAGTTCCTTTCTGGTACTAAAAACACCATTTTAGAGTTAGTCAAAGCAACCCCTTTTCAAGCATGAGTGAACATAATTTTGAAGGAAAGCATTGTTGTTGTTACTGCATAACTACGTTTCCATTAGGAAAAGAAACAACAGGAACAAGTTTTCAGTTGGTTGTTGAATTCTCAGAGTAATGTGTTCTTGGATTTTTCTTATTGAAAAACAAGTATGGATTTTTCTGGAGATGTATGGTGCTTCACTGAGTAGACTCTGAGTGCTAAAAAAATATATTAAAAATGTCTTTTACTTCTGGTGTATAGGGAGATATGGATAATAAACAATGATGGCTAAGGGTAATCTATAACTACAAAATTATAATTATTAAACTATGTAAGATTAAATACAAAAGAGTGAAAATGGTACCAGTAACAAAATTGCTACCAGTCAGATCCCTAGAGGACCATTGAACTAAGTTTGTCTTAATTCTTTTACCATCATCTGAATCTGAAACAACTTTAATCATGTTACTTTATTACTTGGATTTCTCACCTTTTATTTAAATATGTGATTCTGAACTGTGTCTGCTCATTTTAATCATCTGGGATACTTTTTATAAATAGGAATACCCAGATCCTACTATATGGACTTAATTTGTCTGAGCAGAACCCTGGGTATCAGCTGTTTTTGTTTATTTGTTTTTAAAGCTCTGTAGACTGATTCTAGTAGGCAGCTAGGACAAAGAATTACTGGTTAAGATACTGGCTTTTCAAACTGATATGCATGTTATGTGAATCACCTGATAATTTTGTTAAATTGCAGATTCTGATTTAATAGATTTTGGGGGACCAAAAGATTCTTCATTTGTAAGATAACTGATGTCTGGTCCTTAGAGCACACACTTTTGAGTAGCAAGAATACAGACTAGGTTCTCCCAACTATTTGCTCACAGTCTTTTTATGGTTCAGGGGCATTTTAAAATGAGAATCTAATTTCAGAAATGAACAACTTGATTTGGCAACAAGGATTCTTGTATAACTTCCCTTGGTTAGTCCATGTTGATCTGGTTCAGAGCAGTGAGAGTAGTAAGAGGTCTGAAAAAGTACTGTGTGGACATTTCATTAATAGAAATTAATGAAATTATAACCTTTTAAAGAGAACAAAAGTAAAATTTACTTTTATTTCAGTTTTATAAAGAAGCTTTGCTCAACAAATTATGTGCAAAAATTAGCACTTTTATTTAAAATTTGTATTTCTATTTATTGAAGTAAATTTCCTAAAATTCTCAAATGTGAACTGTTAGTTTAATTCTAGTAAAATTGCTTTGGTGTGATGGACTCCAGTAGCTTTTGTGGATATCATGTAATACATTCTTGCCTGAGGCATTTCACAATGATGATATTTTGAGTATATTTGTGTGCCCTCTGTGCTTCTGCACATTATAATCGCTTTATAAAAAATTGCCTAATTTTTTCCCTTTTGTCTGTTGTTTTTTTCCCCCACTTCTTAGCATCATTCACGGTTATGTGTTACAATGTGTTATGTGATAAATACGCTACCCGGCAGCTATATGGCTATTGCCCATCCTGGGCATTAAACTGGGAATACAGGAAAAAGGGAATTATGGAAGAAATTGTTAACTGTGACGCAGATATCATTAGTCTTCAGGTAACAAAATAGAAATCAAATTGTCTTTTAAGTTAAAGGTGAACTTAAAAGATTTTCTGTGAGAGATCCTGTGTACAAAGCAAAATTCAAAAGGAATTGTTTTCTCTATTCTTAAAAAAATTGATTATTTTATTTTTTTGAAATATGCTTTTATAGAAAGATCTTTACAGTTGTTTATCATTTGTCAAATTTAACAGACTTTTACAAGTCCATTGATATATCAAAGTACTGAGCTTAACCCCTGAAAAAGAAATATTAGCATACTATTCATAATTAGTCATGCCACAAAATTTTCAAAAATAGATAATTTTAATAAGCACATAAGAAGTTTGCACAGTGAAACTGTTTTGCTAAGTACAGCCATCCATTTGCAACTCATTTACTATTAAGTGAAAATTATCTCACATATTATTCATGTCAACAATTCATCTCATCCACAAATTATTGGTAGTGACAAAACAAAAAACTACAGAAGATTGTGTTTTTTTATGCATATGAATTTAACTTTTAATTTGTAAAAACAATCATTTCCCACTTTTGTTCCTTAATGATAAACATTTTAAACATTTAAAAATATTGTAGTGTAAATCATGCAATTTTGCCTTATTTAAAACCCATATCTGAAAATTAGGTTCTTCTGTTTATAACACTTTGTTACAATAAATTTAACTGAAGAAGTGCCTTTCATTGAAATATGTTTCTTTTCAACACTCAGCCAATGAATAGCCAAGTAAGTTTTATAGTAATTTTTAGTAACTTTTCTCTTAGCAACTTTCAAAGCATAAATCTTTAAAAGCATAAATCTATAAAATCTTTTCAGCATAGCCTGAGAAGAAATTATTACTTCTTAAATATTTTTTTGTAGTACAGTTTGACTATTTTTATGTCGTCCATGATTTATATGACTTCATGGGAAATAATAAAAATCTTCAAAAATTAAATTTTCAACACTGAGGACTGACACAGAATTGGGGGGATGAGGAAACAAACAAAATTAGGATTATTATTACTTAATTGTCTGTTTTGATTTTGTATTTGCAGTAATAACAGCCTTTATAGTCTTCTAAGTAAAAGTATAGTTTGAGGGATAAAAACACCATAATAAAAAAATTCTCTTACCAATATCACCCCAATGAATTTGATTTAAAAAATTTTTTTAAAGCGAGAAATGTTACATTATCAGAAATGGTAATTTAAAAAATTAAAATTATTATTCTAAAATCTACTCTGGGAAGTAGCCTTGGCTAAATATGTTAATAAGAATTGATTTTTCAAATGTGGGTCATATACAACTGTATACCAAAATATATTTCCTATTATAAAAGAAATACTACCACATAAAGTGTTAAGTGTAGAAAAGTTGAACATTTTGAAAAAACATAAAATATGGAAGAAAACACCTAATTTCATATCCCAAAGATAGCTGCTGTGTTAGAACTTCTAAACTGTGCCTTGTACACATTCTTATGCATTTATTTATTTGCAGATACATTTTTAAAATAAGGTCGACATCACACTATTGACATTTTCGTTCTTGTTTATTGTACTTAAGGCACTATATGTATTACTAAAAATTTTCCAAATTAATTATATGAATATATATTAATTGCTTTATCATTTTCCTTGCTGTTGGACATTTAGGTATGTTATAAAACCATGTTGTTACAAGCATTACCATACATAAATCATTATCCTCACACTTGATTTTTTCATTTGGGAGGATTTGTTAAATTTTGTGGGCTAAAAATAAAATAACGTAACTCAGTAATTACTAAATTAAGAGACCATTGGACTCAGGTACCTAAAAATTTTTTAAAGTAGAATATTTTGTTGATTGATCTTAAGCTTCTCATTCTTGGGTATTATTCCTTTCTATCACAGTTGAAAAAGATAAAAAATTCTTAAAATTACCTTTCTATATGTAAAATTTACTACTCCCTACCACTTAATCTATAATATGAGCAACTGTCTTTGATTAATTACCAGTTGTGAAGAAGTGAAGTATAGTGGAATGAACTCTATATTGTGAATCAAGAGGCTTGGGTTCCACTAACTGTTTGAGCGTGAGAAAATCATGTAATACCTGGTTCTTTCAGGCTTACAAAGCTGCCATTATGAAGTGGCAGGTGTTAGCAGTAAGGTAAGAGATAATATTGTTAACTTAGTCACAACTTACTCATAATGCTTAACATTTTTATATCTTTCTTAGCGTTTTCCTCTGTCATGTGGGTGATAACTTTTCTTTTATCTCAGGAAGTGGAAACAGAGCAATACTTCACTCTCTTTCTGCCAGCATTGAAGGAGCGTGGATATGATGGGTTTTTTTCTCCAAAGTCACGTGCCAAAATCATGTCTGAGCAGGAGAGAAAGCATGTGGATGGTTGTGCAATATTCTTCAAAACAGAAAAGTGAGTTAAGGAAACAAAGCAAAATAGTGTAAACTTATTTCTTTAATTATTCCATGTTTGAAATTGTCTTTGATTTGACCCTTTAAAATAAAGAGCTAGAAAACAAGTGATATAAAAATTGAATTTTAAGTAAATTCATACACTTGGTGGTGGTGTCATAATCATGCCTAAATATATTTACATGAAGGAAAATACTAGTTTTGGTGTAAAAAAGAAATTAATACAGTTTAAAATTAGAAATAAGTTTTGAATTTTTTCCTGTGATTTTTTTTTATTATTTGGCCTTTTTCAGAATCATTCATTTTAGCAACCTTTTCTTCTTTTTCAGTTAACATTTTATACATTTATTTAACCACTAAATGATTACTGAGCATTTGCTTTGTGACAAGTACTGTGCTAGTCACAGTTGATACCGATATAGATAAGACAGTTATTAATTCCACTGAGAGCTGTAGTCTAGTAGGAACAGGTAAGCATGTAAGAAAATCACAAGATAATATGGTATATAAGATAAAAATAGGCATTAAAATAAGGCAAGACAGAAGAGAGGCCCAGAGCTTACGGAAGTAGGGAATTAAAAGATTGAAACAAGATAGTGGAAAGCAGTCATCAAATATAAAGAAAACACAACCTGTGGCTTTTTGGGGGGGCAGTAGGGGGGGCTGTTAATATAGTTGATTACAATACAGTCAAAATGAGAATATTATGAATCTACTTATTAAAATACATAAATGATCTTGTAGAGGCTTCTGTGCTTTAATATTCTTGAGCTTAAATTGGAAAACTGCACTCAGCCTCCTTACTTCAGAAGTAGTAACAAGAATTAAATGAGGTAATGAAGGGCTAGGTACTTTGTAAACTATTAAGTGTCCTGGACATGTTTTTGTTATATTTCTGTTTCTGTAGTCAATTTGTAATTTTATTACTTCTCTCTTATTGGGTTTATTATGTTGTGTGCCCTGGATTTAGAACTGCATTTCCTACTTGAGAGTGCAGAGCTGTCACATGCTTAGAAGATATCCCTTGAGTGTTGGATGAGTGACTAGATGGTTAGAGGCAGATTCTTTTGGTTATCATCATGAGGAAAGAGAGAAGAGTATTTTTGCCTCATGAAGGCTGGCAATTGTAGAGTGGAAAATTTGGAGGGACCTTTAAAATTTGGAGGGACTGAAATATGTAAAGTCTGATAGGGGTTGAACCTCATGAATAATAATTTGGGTTTAATACATTAGTTAGAGAATCATCTACTTACAGGATAAGCATATACATGCTTACCACTATTTTCCTGTTTAATACCTATTATAACAAAGCCAGTTAAATGTTTTTATTGGTATAGGTATATTACCAGCATGTTATTTTAAGTAAATGAAGTAAATGAATTTGAAAGATATTTGGCCTGCTTTTCATTAATTTGAACCTACTTCCCTATCTTTTCTGTGAATTTTTAGTAGACACATTCTGATTTTAGTTAATAATTAGTACACAGCCCTATAATATTTGAGGTCAGAATATACAAAATTCTTCTAGGTGACTTTTATGGATTTCAGAATAATAGCAATTACTTTCATAGTGTTTATTTATATGTATTTATATGTATTTTATTTATTTATATGTATATTTATATGTATATTTATATGTATTTATTTATATGTATTTAATGTATTTTATTTATATGTATTTTATTTATATGTATTATCTTTAATTTTTAAGTCAACCCTCAGAGGTAGGAATGGAAGTACCAGCACTTCCTCATTTTTATGGATGAGGAAAACAAGGCACTGAAAGTAGTCTGGCTTCATAGTCAGTGCTTTTAACCAATGTACTAAATGCAATCTTTAGGCTTCTTAGTTGAGCTCCTGATTTAACTTGTACCTCTTACAAGGTTACCTCATTAGGAAAGTTGCCTTATATTTTGTATTTGTTGCCTATACTCATATACAATATTTCTTAAAACACCATAATATAAAAAAGTAGTGAATAGCATTGAGATATCTGTATCAAGCTCTTTTTCCATTTGCCATTGTTTCTTTCTGGAGGAAGCTAATACAGAAAATTTTTATCATTCCCTTCATGGTTTTGAGAGAAAAATCTAAAACGCCCTGATTTTACTAGGTAGTTAAGATTTTGAACTAGCAAACCTGTTATCTAGGAAACTTGAAACAACTGAGATTTGAAAATTGATGCTTGAATTTTTTTTTTAGGATTTTATTTATTTATTTTTAGAGAGGGGAGGGAGAGAGAAAGAGAGAGAAACATCAATGTGCGGTTGCTGGGGGTCGTGGCCTGCAACCCAGGTATGTGGCCTGGCTGGGAATTGAACCTTCGACATTTTGGTTCGTAGCCCGCGCTCAATCCACTGAGCTGCGCCAGCCAGGGCTGATGCTTGAATTTTTTAAAAAACTGTTGATTAGTTAAGAGATGAATACATAGATAACACTAAGATGCATCATTTGGATTTCTTTCCTTCCTCAAATCTTTTTGCCTTAATAGTAACATGGATCCAGCAACAGATAAAGACTTTGGGTGTGATTCATTATTACATTCTACCTCTTTTGAACAGTACATGAAGTGTACATGATGCCATCCATATTAGCTAAAACTATACCATGCCATACTATTTGGAATTCAACACAAAGTGTACTACTTTGCCTTTATTCTATTATTTCTTCAAATTGGAGGGACAACACTGTACAAAGGAAGACACTTTTGAAGCCAGGTTGTTCACTTACTTATGTGTGATCTTGAATGATTCTCTTGTCCTTTCTGGGCTTATTTCTTCATTTGTACATGTTTGTATATTACCTTATAAGGTAATTCTGTATATAGATAACAGATAGTCAATAAAGCTAACATGTCAGACATTACCTATGGAAGGGACTTACTATCTATACTCATTCTCAAAGTCTTGCTCTTCTAAAACCAGAGTACCTGATAAGTCTTAATTTTTGCTGATGCCATTTGTTTCACTTCAGTGAAAATAGTGGTACAGAGGAGGTAACAATAAATGGAAACTATAGTAATTACTATTTTGGCAAAATGCTATAAGAAAAATCTCATCCATTATGATAAAAAGGTAGGATATGGCCTAGTGGAGGCTAGGGCATAGATTAACAATATTGAGGGAATTAGAATACAATAAAATATTTTTTGAATCATCCATATTCTAGTTTAATTTAATCTTTGGGGATTCAGAGGGCCTTTAAGATTTGGTGGTACCTTTTGGTCATCATTATAAACGTCATTTTTTTGGTAGATACATAGAAATACCAGAAATTAAGATTGGATTGATAAAATGCTTTTGCTTTGTTTTTTACCTAAATAAGTATTATCTTCAGTCTAAAGTGTTTTATAAAATACATGCACATGTATTTGTGTATGTGTCTTTAGAGAGACTGTTGTTATAGATACATTTTTATACTAGGAAATTTGAATTTCTTTTTGCACATTTTGTCCTATAGAGTAGACATAAGAGTTAGTAGAAGTGGAGTCTTCCAGATACACAATTTGCAGAAACTCTAAGTGGAGAAAAATGGAGATGACACCAGACCTAGATTAGACTTGCTTGTTGTCCCTAAGGTTAGCAGTTCTGATCTGATCCTGCTTTATTTAAAATCAGTAAGAGAGGGAAGGATGAGAGCAGCAGTTTTAGGACACTGTGAAAAGGCTGTCTATTCCAATAGGATTGGGAACTAGTCAGTGGTGGTGCTTAGTCCTTGCTGTATTGCCTCTACTTTCTAACTTGTTTCCAGTCTTAGAGGTATCAGCTAAAGCCAGGTCTTTGCTTTTCCTTACTACATTATAACAGGTAGTTTTGTGTTTGAGAAGAGGGCATACAGAGGTTATAGTATCATCCCAAAATGACCTGTTATGATAATCCTGTCTCACTGGTTTCTCAGTTATTAATTTCCTCTATTTTGTGTGGTGGTCTCATTTAGAATTTGTCGATGTGATTTTTTAAAAAACAGATTTTAATATCTAGTTTCTGATGTTAACTTGACCATTAATTTAATCTTGAACATAAAATCATTGCTTTTACCACAGTTCCCTTACCTTTCCATTAGGGATAATAGTAACGGTTCCATCTAACTTCAGAGGTTTCTTATGGGGCTAAAACAAACAAAGTGAAAGTGTTTTCAGTAGTTAAAAGAGTTGTACAAATACAGGTAGTATAGTGTATATCCACTTTTATTTCCTATTTATCCAGTCTCTAAGCTTATCTTTCCTAGTAAATTATTTTCTGGCACTTCCTTGATTACTTAAAGGGACTCAAGAACACATTTTATACCACCTTGTAGTACTGAATACACAATAAATACTTCTGTTCGGTTTAGGTTTAAGAGTGCAAGGATATGATCCAGTAGGGGTCATAATTAACTTTTGTGTGGTAATGCTCTTCTTGACTATATATTACCTTCTTCCCTTTGACTCATAAATGAATTCAAGGAGGTAATATTACTTGTCTTTGCTCCTTAATTATAGTTAACATACAATATCATATTAGTTTCAGGTATACAACATAGTGATTCAACATTTATATTCCTTATGAAGTAATCACCACAATAAATCATACATAGTTATTACGATATTATTGGCTGTATTGCCTGTGCCGTGCATTACATTCCTGAGACCTATAACTGGAAGTTTGTACTTCTTATTTCCCTCCCCCTTTTCTACCCAGTTCCTACCCCCACCCCTCTGGCAACCATCAGTTTGTTCTGTATACAAGGGGGGAATTTATTTATAAAAAATTGTGTATTTATTCTTCTATGTTGAAACTTCAGTTACCTTCAGAGTACTTTCCATTTGATGCAGTACACCTATCGAGACATTTTTTTCACTGCTCAAAACAGTTTTTGAACTTGTTGATTGGGATGACTTTTAGTGCTTCTGACACTTTTTGTTTCACCTCTTCCACAACAGCAAAACGTTTCCCTTTGAAGACTCTTTTCGTCCAGGGAAACAAAAAAAAAGTCACTCAGGGTAAGATCAGGGTGGATAAG